TACTGGGATGCATAGCGATGCTGACGAGGCTGCAGCGCCACTTCTTTACCATCTTTTCTCCGTCATTAGCTTTAGAACGCCGGTATACTGTTCAGTAATGAAGCTCGTGGAGTGCTGGACTGACTTAAAGACTCCACATTTAAAGTCAACGAGCGACAAGCGGAGGCGGGCAGAGAGACCCGTGAGCTGTAGGGTCATCAGAACTTTGAACTTAGGCTGAGAGCTCGAGTAGCATACTGCAGCAAACGCCACAAAGCGAAAACTTATGGTACTAAAAGAGCAAAACAGAATCTGCACGTTGTAGACTATTCTGACCACAGAGGAAATCATCACGCAGGACGACACTTCAAACCCTTTTCCCCGCTCTGGTAGACCCCCAAAAGGCAGACAGCGTCTTATCTACCGATGTGACTTTAAGTCGGGATTTTACGTTGTGCATCACTGGATATAAAGGGCGCTGATTCTCACTTTTTTGGCCACCACGTCCGGAGGGAAGCTCTGTTTGGAGATTACCCATAATGCTCTGGTGCACGTGTTCTTATCTGCCGACTTCACCACCAGAGAGCAAAGTGCTGAGAGGAGATCGGCTGCGAGGGTTTCTTAAAAAACAAAAACAGACACTCAGGTACGGTCGCTCTCCCACCAGGTGATAACTGACTTCATGTGTCAAATATGAAAACTCACCAGGAACTGCGGAGACAACGTGAGAATGGTACAAACAAAAGCCTAATGCTTGCAGGGCAGCTTGGCTCAGCTCTGCGTTTGTGCTGCTTATGTGAGCCTGGAAGACATGATCAGAATTAGGAATCATAGAAACACAGATTTAATGTGTAACAGGGGATTCCAGTCAGCTTTCAGCTTTACATGAATTAAAGACGGATATAAAGACTCACCAGGGCGGCGTTACCCAGACGAGAAAAGTGCTTTTCAACTGCAGGGAGAAACTGGCGTCCTTCCTCTCCACTGAGCCGGCTGGAAGGACAGACAGATTCAACGATATGAAGTTTTTAATTTTTTTTAAGAGACACTCTCTCTGACATTAGCGGTCTATCTTCTAACGCCACCAGGGCCGTGGGACGTACTTTGCGATGGTGAGGTAGGCGTCCGTCTGCTCGGGCTGTCCAGCGGCGCTGTCCTCCAGAGACTCCAACAGGGGGAGGAAGCTGGAGCTGCTCGGAGGCTCCGCCGTCGCCATCATTATTCCTCCTCGCCTCACCTCCTCAAGGCCTTAAGGGGAGGGAGACACGGAGAGCAGGAGGGAGTGAGGAAAGGGAGAACGGGAGGCATGTTGAAAACACCGAGAGAGACAGAGAAGGCTTAGGAGACGGATATCAGTAAAGTGGAGGCTCTGGTCTTGATTCAATAAGTAACCATTTACTAAATATGTACTATACCTTTATATACACAAGACCTCAGATTTCTAATTGATGTTTCTCTGTCTTTTCAGCTACATACTGAGACACTTGTAGAAAAGCTGAAGATGCAGCTGGTTTTTATTTCAGAAATAAGTCTGTTTTTTTCCTTTGCTGCTTCTTTCACGCCCCTGATCGGTTACTGTGATGTTTTATAAATGCACGCATCTTCTCAAGATAGTTTTTATCATGCTGCGTTAAGGGTCAAAACAAATCTTAAGGCCCTGTTTCATCATTGTACTCTGCGTCTTGAAACGGGGAAAACAAGTTTCAGGTTCTCTGCTCCTGCAGGAGCATCTGTGTCTAAGGAAGCTCCTCCAGACACAGTCTGAATCCCCGCCTGACAGGAGCCTCTCTGTGTGGAGTCTGCATGCTCTCCCCGTGCATGTGTGGGTTCTCTCCGGGTACTCCGTCTTCCTCCCACAGTCTAAAGACATGCTCGTTAGGTTAACTGGTGACTCTAAATTGTCCGTAGGTGTGAATGGGAGTGTGGCTGGTTGTCTGTCTCTATACGTCAGCCCTGTGATTGGCTGGAGAACAGTCCAGGTTGTACTGTGCCTCTCGCCCCAATGACAGCTGGGATGAGCTCCAGCCACCCGTGACCCCGAACAGGAAAAGCGGCATAGATGATGGATGTATTGCTTTATAGCTTTACCTGCCCTTTAAGGCCTTTTCTTATATTATTTTGGAGACCCCTCTCTGTTTTTTTTCTGACAGTTCATGTTTGTTTCGTTATTGTCAGGACTTCCTGTTCTGTCAAAGCCCTTTGAAAACATCCGATTTGAAAACAAAAAAAAAAAGGTGCTATATGAATACAGCTGTTAAATATATATAAAACAAAAGGCAGGAAGAGATACAGATGTGCATGTACATACCTCAGTGAGATATATGCAAATCTGTGAACACCCTCCAGTCTCCAGATCTGCAAAGACAGGATACAGGAACACAAAAAGGTTAAAGGTCAACCGGTGTTAAACATGTTAAAACCAGCTGATACTGTAAACAGTCTCTCTTTAAGTGAAACTGATCTGGTTTCAGTGTGTGCTGGATGCTACCAGAGGCCAAACAGCCTCCACAGAGCAACTTGTTTGACCCCCAAAACAACTGAGCATCCTGCTGTAAATAACTAATCCACATCAAAATCATGTTTTCAAACACACGAGGGACCAAAGCGTTACTTCATCTTATTGGGGAAACCCAACACCATGCGGGGAATCAGCTACACGAGCATGCTAACGTTAACTAGCATCGTTAGCAGGCTGCATGAACAGCCTATTAGCGAGTTAGCAAAGTTTCATGTTCACTCCAAGAGGAGTCAAAGACCGCTAAAAACACGGTGACACAGCCTCACCTGCCGCATGTCACCTGTCCACTGCAAGGGCTTTTTATTAAGACCCATAGAGGAGCACATAAACGACGTTAACAAAGCGATATTTACATATTTACATCTTGGTTGTTTGACACAGGGATGGCTCACCTCGGAGTTTGCAGGAACAGGCGCGAGCAGCGGGAATTAAAAAAAAAAAAAAAAAAGACACACGATTAAAAACAGCGTCCACGTTCCTGTGAGGTATTAATATCTCTTTACTTCGGGTGTTTGTGTCTTTATATTTGATCTACCTCCTTCTCCTCTGCTGCTGTTACCCCGCGAAATCGCTGGCGCCAAACTACCACGCAGACGTACAAAATTACCTCTGACCCCGCTGACGTCACCCTCAGGCACCGCCCACTTTACCTTATAAGGAGCCTCGTTCATTTTCTCCATAGCGGATTTGATTATGAGCCATAACGTCAAAATAATCCAAGGTAGACCGACCACGATCCACCTGAGTGAGAGAAGGTGATATATATTCTCCTGTAGAAGACATACGTCTGTATGATAGCAACCTCGTTTTAAGAAAAACGTGGTTTTATTCGTGATCTCCGGAAAAGAACCACATTACCCAGAATCCTCGGGTGTCACAGTGACGTCGCTGATTGGTGGAGCTCCGTGTTGCCATGGAAATGTTTACCGCCCCCGCGAATTTGTTGCAGTTTTAAAGGCTGTATATGCGATTTTTTTTGATCCAGCAGATGTCGCCCTTGAGCACCAGCGTGAAACCAGCGGGACTCGGGTGTTACACTTATTGTAGACAGTCATGACTCAGTTATTTTCAGAGGATATACCTACTTGATTTCTATTACATTTAAGTGTGAAAAATCGCATATAAAGCCTTTAAGCAACTAAAACAAGAAATGCTCCAATGTTGGCTCTCTAGGACTTCTATTTTGGTTGTTGTTTTAAAATAGGTATCAATTTAGTTTGATTTTTACTAGAATCCAAGTTTTAAATCCTGGTATCGTGACAACCCTAGACCTAGGTAAATACCTTATAGTGGTAGATAGTTATGGTTTCTGAAGCAGGTATTTACACCACTGGTCGCCACCTGAGCGCCAGATAGTGAATCTAAAACCTGAAACCAGGATACAGTGTTTACATGCAGAACAAATAACAAGGATACTTCAAAAACATAACCAGGTTCATTGTGTTCATGAAAACAGAGTCATGGCTTAATCTACTGCTGAGGATGCAGGAGATAAACCTGATCCTCTGTGTCGGACCTCACAGAGACCCACCAACATGTCCGACCTAACATGCAGAGAAAGTCTAGTTAAGATAAGATAAGATATACTTTATTCAACCGAGCAGGGAAATTTTGGTGTTCCAGCAGCCAGCATACATACAAACACACAACACAACACATATATACATACATATCCCACCCATACAAAAAACATGAGCCCACAATACATAGCCAGGATAAAAAAGTGGTATGGATGGTCCATGTGCATAAGTAGCTGTTACTCAGAGATAAATTAGATATATATAATATATTATTATTATATTATTATATATATGTATATATATTATATATATTATATATATATATATATATATATATATGAAGCAAAACTGAATCCATCTTTAATGTAAAATGTCAGTTTAATTAATAAAAACAATATTTAAGTCAACATGCTGTACTCACCACTAAACTCTGCTAACCGACCCCAGCCCTCCAGTTTACATGATGACACTAAACTCTGCTAACTGACCCCAGCCCCTCCAGTTTACATGATGACACTAAACTCTGTACAGCTGTCTGCCGTCATGCTACACCGACGCAGCCGACCTTTGTGAGGAGTCTTTAACGGGGAGCAGACTTCTTAGGTGAACAGTCTGCGCTGAATTATTAATGAGCAAACTTCCCGTCATCACTGACACACATTACCGACCAGAACACATGTTCTGTTTGCAGAACACACGTTCATTACGTCTACATGTCAGTGAACATGTTTGGATAAAAGTACAATACCGAAACAAAAAACAGGTTAAGAAAAATAAAAACAATCAGTCCACATTAACAGACTTTTCCCGCGCTGCTTTGTTTCCAGTCTTCTTCTGTCTCTTCTTCTTCCCCTCCTTAAACACCGGAGAGCTCAGAAACATGCTGGCCGTGAATTTATCTCCGCGCCTGATTTTGCTGTAAAAAAATAAATAATAATGATCACTTCCTGCTTTAATTGAACCTGAAACAAAGATGTTACCACTGATCAGTTACAACGAGAAGTCCTCGCCTGTTGAGGGTCGGTTCTTTGTAGCTGACGACACCATGTCGTCTCCTGGTTCTGCCTCCTGCTTCACCGTCTGGAGTTGAGATGGTGTTGGTCAGTGTTGTTAAGACTCCACTTGCTGCAAAAACACACAAATAAGTTGAGCTCTTAAAGGTCACATATTCTCTTCCTCTTCTTCAACCAGAGAGGGTCTCAGATCTCCCCAAAACATGTCTTGTTGAAGTCTTGTTGAACATGAAGTTTCTTGTTCTAAATCCACTCTGATCCTGTATTTGATCATGCCTATAAACCCCTCTATTTCAGCCCTGATCAGAACAGGCTGTTTCTGTGTCTGTACCTTTAAATATGTAAATGAGCTGTGTCTGACCACGCCCCCTCTCTGGAAGGGATTGGGTGTCTCGGGCTTTCTCGCTCCATGTCCTATTGTTTACGGTGAGAAGGCAGACTCAGAGGGCAGAACAAACACCTAGCTGTGGGAGTGTCACCCACCTGGGGGAGGGGTTACTGCCCTTTGTGATGTCATGAAGAGAACATCTCCAAACGGCCTGTTTGAGCACACATTTTCTGAAATGTGGAGCAGGCAAAAGATGGAGAGGATGGACTTGATTCTCATCATTGGCGGGTTTGTAGACGGACTAGAGACACATATTAGAGTTAGAGGAACATATAATTAATCAAAAGATCAATTCAGGCTGTGGCCTGTTGGTTGGTGCGCACGCCCCATACTTTCCCACATGCCATTTCTCACTTTCTCTCTACGGATTTCTGACTCTATATACACTTTCCTATCTGTACAATAAAAGCATAAAAAGCCCCAAAATAAAAAACCTTAAAAGATCAAGTCAGGACATTTCATAGAAGAAAAAACAAATGTTGCAATAGAAGACCCGCCATCTTCACTGGAGTTTGACCTTTAACCTTTACCAGGTAATTATTAAATAAATAAAAGACAAATTAGAGGACGTCCCACCTGACGAGGCTTCAGTTGTGACAGCAGCAGACTCCTCGATCACTTTGGCGACCTTTGGTCTCCTGCTTCCTGTTAATTAAACTTTCAACACACTCCTCCCTCTGCACAGTTTTCTTTTTACTGGACCCATTCGTTTCTTCTCTCCTTGCTTTTTTAGGTTTCTGAAACTCAGCTTCTGAAGAACATTCTGGGTCCAGCTGTGGTGCATCGTGGTTTTCTTTGCCAGTCGAATCCTCTTGTGGGCTTCCTGAATCCTGAGTGGCCAGCCAGGGACGCTTACGTGAGCTGGGTGTTGTCTGGACACATGCACCGTCACTTTCACTGTGTGGATCCGGAATGTTGCATAACAGCGGCTCCTTCTGCCTCACAGATAGAGGATCCTGCAGAAGGCATCACGTCGTGCTCTGTGACGTCGACTTCTGGGGAAGCTCTGCTCGATAACATGCTCTCCCTGGCGACTGAGATCACAAACGTCCCCCTGCATTTTGGTTTGTGACTTCCTGCAGAATTTGTCCTGACTTCATTTCTCTGTACTTCATTTACCAAATGTCCAGAACTAGGAAGTGCAACCTCATCAGCACAGAACAGGAATTCTTCAGGTAGTTCATGGTCTTTGGATGCTTTATATTTTCTCTCGATCACTTCTTCCATTTCATTTTGGATTTTTTCAAATTCTGACTTTCTGATCTCACTTTCACGCAATGGCAAAGTCACAAAAGGCGTCCTGGTGAATGTGGACATCCTCCTGCCTTTTGTCCTGGACCTCCTGCATGTGATTTTAGGCCACGCCTCCTCTGCGGTATCGTCCTCTGGTGCTAGTGTTAGACTCTCTCTGGCTTTTGAGAGTCTAAAATCAGGGTCCATGAAATAATCGTCCACGTCTGGTGGGGCAGTATCAACAGAGTCTCTTTTGGACTTGGGGGTGTCATTGGATTTTAATTTCTTCTTCGCCTTCTTCGAGTTGTTGCCAGCCTCAGACTTGCTCAGTTTGGGAATGCGAGAGGTGGTGACACTCGTACTCTGTGATTTGGGTGACTGAGACTCTGTAACCTCCGGGTCTTTAATACTCTCTGGTGCGTGGTCATCTGTAGAACCAGTAGGAGAACTCTGAGCCGCACTCACTTAGAATCTGCAGAGCTCTTCACTTGTGGATTTTCCCCCACATTTGACCCTGAGGCTTGTTCCTTCTTTTTCGGCCTGCCAACACGTCTTGTCTTCTTAGCCTTAGTTTCCACGGTGACTATCTCAACAGAATTACTCAGCGTCATGTCCATTGTCGCATTCAGAAGAACTGTATTCTCCTGTTTTTTGCCAGTTTCTGATTCTGGTTCAATGACTGAGCTACTTGGAAGGGGAACATTGTCAGAGAGAGATGGCTTGGGTTTTTCATTTAGACTCAGGGGACAGACTTCATGTCAAACCCAGATTGAGAGATTTTCCTTGAAAGCCGATCTACTTCCTCCATTAGGCTGCAGGACGGACGAGACAGTCCCATCCCAGGAACTAGTTTGTGCTGGCTTGAACGCCTTCTCGCTGAAGTTTTCTCTGCAATAATTTGATAAAAATTAAAATTATTTCCAGCAAACTTTTTATGAAAATCTCAGTGGGCAACAATAATTTATGATAAAAAAGACTTTTCAGGTGCTTACCTTTGCAAACATTGGAGGGCGGTGGCAGTCTGCTCTGGATATTGAAGGCATCTGCACAGGTTTTTGTTTCAGGCAAATCTGCTGTGATTTTTTGGAGGGGACACGGCAAGGGCTCGAGAGCTTCCGGCTGGGGAGGTAACTGATCTGTAGGACTAATAATCAGAGTTGGGAGGAGGGTGAGGGACAGGATGAAAGAAAAAAACAGAATGAATTCAAAGCTGCAGAGACCTCAAAGACATGTTATTAGTTCAAAGTCCAAATCAATCTGAACACAGTATTTCCTCACCTTTCCATTTCAAGATGTTCTCTGTCAAAGTTGCCTGATGAGATATTTGTTTCCTCCGACAGTTTCGGAAGATCCTGCAGGTAAATCATACAAATAAAATCACAGATAATGTCAGGTGTAGTTTGATAAATAGGTATCCTCGACTTCCGTTTGGTTCAGAGTTCTCAAGTTTCATCGAGACAAACACACACACTTTTAACTTGTGCCCTTAATGTCCATCTCTAGGTAACACACAAAGAGAGAAAATGTTTGAGTGGAAATACGTCTTACACCATCAGAGAACAAGTCAGCCACCATGTCCAGGTGCTGTCGAGTGTTGCTGTGGAGGTTTGTCAAGATGAGGAGCTGTGAGAGAAAAAAAAACTTCAGCCAATCATCAATTCAAAGAGGGAAATTCTGATAGTTTGTCTGTTAAAACAAATGTGCACGGTCAGAAATAACAGCCTTCTAAACAACTACTACCACGATAAATAGGGCATGAATAATGTTATGAAAGGTTAAAGAGAGTGCTGGTTAAAATAAATATATAGATAAGCCATTCATGAGTGAGTGTGGGCACAAAGATTGACTTGGCTCTCTTCATCCTGCAGGTGAGTGATATGAACCTGTAGCCTGAGGGTAGGAGGTTTGTAGAGAGAAGTGTGTGAGCGTGCGGTGTCTAACGCTGTGTGTGTGTGTGTGTGTGTGTGTGTGTGTGTGTGTGTGTGTGTGTGTGTGTGTGTGCAAAGCTGTGTGTGTGTTGTATTTGAGGCTAGGTGTTGTCCCTTTAGTTTTGTCCTCCTTTATGAAATGCAAATTAGAGGTTCCTGCTCCTGTCCGATTATTTTACTGCTCATCGTTATGATCCTGTTTTTCTAGGAGCAGTAAAATAATAAGCAGTAACCTACTTAATGTAAACTAAACTCTGAGTGTTGATATTTTCAAACAACAAACCAACCAGTTTCCTGTGCTTGTACTTCTTTGCGGCTTACTCAAAGCACAGAGCCTCCACTTGTTTCTGAAGGAACATGATGTCTTTCTCCAGCTGCCGGCTCCGCTCCTTCTGCATCTCCAGAGCAACAGCCAGGGCCTTGTTGTTCTTCTTCAGAGACACCTTGAAGAAGGAAGACGTGTCTGGTGCAGCAACAAAGAAGAATAACAGAACTCCCATGTGTTTGCTCATTCAGAAAATATATGAGGACTGCACAAATGTATTAAATGGTTTGAAAAAGTGTGTCAGACTCACTGAGAAGCTTATTTTTGATCTTCGATGCTGCAGCTGAAGACTGCTTGGAGGACGTGATGGGTGTCATTGTCCGCACAGGTAACATGATCAGGTGTTATGAAGGGCTGTGTGAATTATTAAATAATTTGTTAAAGCAAAACACGGGACTTTGTACAACAGTGTTTTTAGCACAAGGAGCATGACGTCACAAGTACGGAAAGGGAGTCAGTGTTGTCATGTATGTGTCTGTCTGTCTTTTATCTATCTATGTTACATTTTAGGCATGAAACCACCAGCAAAAAAAAGTGCTATCTGATCTACTAACAGCGCGCAGTGAGGATTGTGTCTTTCAAATGAGCAAAACAACACGCATTGTCCATTTAGTATGTTTGCCTTAATGAATATGCAATATGGGGCGTTTCTGCCCTAAAGTGCAAAATACAGAGTACCCCCTCTGGTGCGCTCCTTTCCATAATGCGCTCGTCTCCTTCCTCTAAAGCCCGCTGCTGCTACTCTGTAGGATGCTTTGATTGGGGGACCTCACCACTGTTTGCACCCCCGTCTTCGATAGCTCTTTCCAGGGCATTTTATGTTCGATCAGACACAGCGCTGGCCAGCAGAGGACACAGCTCGCACCTCCTGCGCAATGTATGACACTTAATTCTTAAAATGAAGGGAAGAAAAGAGAGGCCCTGTCTAATACCGAATTTAATATTTTCTTATAACCAAAATTTTTCTTTGTAATATTCAGATTTATCTCCTGAAACTAGAAAGTATTGTGCGTTTATTTGCCTCTCCCACTGATACCTATTTCACACTTGCAGTCGTCCTGCTTTCTGTCCAAACTCTCCGTGACGTAAACCAGTAGAACACGCAAAAACCTAACTTAAATAGTTCCGCCTCCACAAGGTTTGCACCTGGTGTCATTCGCGCAAATTTTCTTAGTAGGTCACCCGCAAAACGCCCACCAACCAAACGTGCAATTTTTTGGAGTGAACACGTAATTTAGTACTCTTTAATTGGGAGCTTAGTAAATCTGGCCCTTTGAGCATTTCCGAAGTGAACACAGCCCTTTTTTGAGCATAACTAAGCTGACTAACCGGGTGGTGTAAAGTAGCACATTACATTCAAAATTAGGACAAAACTTACTGTTAACAAACTTCAACAAGCGGGAGACTTCACGTCTTGCTAATAAAAGCCCTTATCGATGATAAACGAACGCTAATAATGTCTTTAATAGTTTAAAATATGTCGTGGGTAAAATGCTGCTCGTTCCGTTTTCAACATAAAACAGAAAGTCCGCCGCTCTACAGCACATGCGCGTCCCAGGAGCTGAGGGCCAATCGGGATGGCGATTAAAAGTCTCCCTGCGCTAACCCGCAATTCACACATACTCCGTGCGCGCCGCAGAACATGCAAACAACATGTCGCTTTGTCTTTCTGAGCATGCATTGTTGTTAATCCGGTTCCTGTTCTGACGTAATGTTGATAAAGTGATGGAAAAATACGATCGCGAGTCCGTTTCGTGTGTTTTGTTTTGAAATTGACCGGATGCTCTGTGCGTTTCCTTGTCTGACTTCCTACTGTCATATTCTGTCCAGCTTGACGCGTGCCTGCAGCGCACTCCGGCGAAAATAGACTCACTGCGTATTTGAAACGGAGCAGAGCGCAGTGCCGTCAGTGGCACGCTCTGGAGATGGGCCGCAGCGCGCGCTGTGTGAACACAATGATAGAGTGGCAGCTAAGTACAACATAGTGCGTGCCGCTGACGGAATCCACTTTTCTTTCAAACCAAATACATTTATAACCTCTATAGTTATATGTTTTGTTTTTGTTTTACTCTTGGGACTGTGACACGCTCTGAAACACACCAGATTTCATGGTAATTATGTCAGCTTTTCCATGAGTAAATAAAGAGCTTGTTGTGGTCAGACAGTGGAATTCAACTTTTTTTTAATCTCGTTGTTCAAATAGATTACTATCTTAATTTGATTTATTTATATGGCTCATGGCAATAATAACACAATAAAACATGAAACACAATTATAACAAAAAATATTTGTTGTTTCAGATATTAGGCTACTTAACGGGGACATATTATAAAAAAAATCCTCTTTTACAGTGTTGTTGAACACATATTTTGGTAACCTGAGTGTCTACTGACCCACAAAATGCGAAATAAACCCATCCAGACACATGCCTTCTTCAACTTATATTACAAACATCTTTTTGCTTATCTGATTGTAACAACTTGTTTACATAGATGGGAAGTTCACATAGCTTAATACTTTGGCAGCTATCTTTACAAATCCTATTTTAGCCAATCGTACCATTTATATCTTTCATTGACCTTACAGGTGGTGTTATTCACTGATAAATCAAAGACAGCCTGATGACACTTTTGGTTTTCACCAGTAAATAATTTTCCAATTAAAATATTGCTTTTTCTATTTAAATTAGGCCATTTGCAATTATGGATAGGATAGCTGAAATGACAGAAAATGTTAGGAGGAGAGAGTAGGGGATTCTAAACGACAGCCGCCTGACGAGGGCAGGGAGCACACAACATCACTGCCAGGCTATCTGGCGCCCCCTGTCCACGATTTCTCACTGTATTTTCTGCAATATTTCATTTTTATGAATTCTTTTTTTCTATTTTATTAGGCTACATCAAAATTGTGTCTGCACTCTGACCTCATTTTGCCAATGAGGACCATCAATTCACTCTTCCCAGCCTACAGTAGCCAACGAGAGCCTGAGATGAAAAGTGGTGTCTGACTCTATTCTGATGTAACCAAACCAGGGCAATTGCATGTGAGGTGACTGGTCCACTGACTGACATTTCTTGCAGCCAATAAAATTCTTAAAATGTGGATATGGACTGTGGTCTGTGACGAAGGCCTGCTTTATCTCAACAGCAGTAAGCCCATTTTAATTTGAAAGATTTTCAACACATTCTGAAACTGCCAAGTGTTAGCTTTAAAAAGAGACCTGATTTGTGCTTGTAGTCCAGACAGTCCAAGAGCCGCATTCAGTTTTCTCGCTTTATGCATGGTTCGGCATTCAAGGCAGTTTTAAGAGGATCTATATTAAAGTATTCAGAGCACCTGGCTGAGGTGGAGTGATACATACAGTGAAAAGTCCAAGTGTTGATTTCAAGCAAGTAAAACTCAGGACAGGTAAAATATAAATGTGTTTATTTTTCTGCTTTCAACAAAATCAGAAACTGCAACACAATATAGGGACAGAAGTTCTCCTTTAATCTTTATTCATAAAGATCTATTTTTTACAGTACACGAGATAACCAATGACATCGTGCAGAAGAGAGTATGAGTCAGTGTAAATAGTGGGTGTGATTGTGTGAAAACTGAGATGCATCATGGGCGGTGTAATGTAACTGGAAGCCTCCTGCTGTGACTGAAGCATCAGAGAGGAACTTCAACGTCATCACGTTTCCTGGGGAACAAAGACACAAAGGTTAGTTTTATACGGAAGCCCAAAGTGGACATTCATCCTGTTTTATGTCTGTGGAAAGGACTGCTCTCTGGTTGTTGTCTCTCGACTTATTGATCTTGTTATCTCAACATGACAACGCAGGTTGTGGAGAGATGGAGAGAGGTTAGAACGCAGAAAGGTTTACAGACCGATGCAGAGCTGGCTAAACACTGAAGCTGCAGTGTCCACCACATGGCAACCTGTGTGAGCAACGACTCTAGAGAGGAGGGGGCGGGGGGAGACAGCTCTCTACAATGTTTAGAATTTTGACTGCAGTACCCATTTTAAACACTAAGGGTCAGAATTACATATTGCTACTTTAATCATTTTTTAGGAGCAACCAATTTTACATTTTTTTATATAGGACCCATAATCCATGGTGGAGCCCTGGCAGCGGTTGTTGCTTGGTTAACCCTCGAGAAGAGGACTGAAATAAGCTCGTTATCACGGGGAAACTACAGCTGATATCCCCAGATGAAGAAATCGAGACCTCGTGAAAACATCCAAAACTGTTCTTGTAACAGGATGGAGTAAAATCAAATGTTCGGATGTGCATCCTCTTCTGGCTTCCTAACCCTAACCCTATAACCCCTAAACATGCATACATTTGTCCACAGGCCAAACAACACACAAAGGAGCATGTTATGTTTCTCATATAGAATCATCAGAAAGTCTTACCTGTGCTGATGATATCATCAGGCAATTCTTCGCCGCAAAATCTGTAAACATTAGAATAAAAAGTGGCGTTAACATTCAACATTCATGCAATATCTATCAGTGTAACTCCAGTTTACACTAAAGCCTAACCTCAACGGTCTAATTAAGTAGCCCCTCCCCCAGGTGGGTGACACTCTGACAGTCTGTCTTCTCACCGTAAACAATAGGACATGGAGCAAGAAAGCCCGAGACACCCAAGCCCTTCCAAAGAGGGGGCGTGGTCAGACACAGCTCATTTACATTTAAAGGTACAGACATAGAAACAGCCTGTTCTGAGCAGGGCTGAAATAGAGGGGTTTATAGACATGATCAAATACAGGATCAGAGTGGATTTAGAACAAGAAACCTCACACACATGTTTTGAGGAGCTCTGAGACTTATTTAAACTGATGAAGAGGAAGAGGATATGTGACCTTTAAAAAAAACAAAACTATTTGCAATCTGACGTCAAAGAAAACCCAATCACAACAGAGGAGTGTTTTCTAACACCACAGTGAGACAAAGCAGTTTCCTCTTGAGAATATTTTTTTAGGATTCAAGAACTCGAGTTGTTTTGGATGTACTCCAATATTTTCCCTTTCTCTATCTTTATTTTTAGTAAGTGTCTGAGATCGTCTTGTTGTTATATTGTGCTTAAAAACTTATTTTAAAGGTTTCTTTCCCGTAAGATTTTCTTTTGTAAGTTTCCATCAATAGTTTGAAACCATGTCGATAGTTTTTTGCACAATAACAAATCATTTCTTGTTTGTTGTTGCTTGTTTGTTCACTTAAATCATCAGTTTTATTTGTGTTTATAGTTTGCTCCTCATTGTATTGGCTATTTGTTGGTTAAATAATCGGTTTCTGTTAAGTCCCGTTTCCACCAAGCAGTCCGGTTAAGTTCGGTTCAATGCTGTACCCGTTTATTGGCGTTTCCACCGTCTAAAGTTGGGAATGGTACCAAAATAAGGGATCTGTACCGTACTACTTTGTTGGAACCCTTCTGTTGGGGTGCCAAGGGTCAAAAGGGTCCCGGTTTGACCTCGAAGGATCCCTTTTGTTTACTGTGTCCCGTTCTTCTTCTTTGTTTGACTTTATTAATAGCGTGCCACACTGTGTTGGGCTGCTATGATGTCACACTATTTCGTAGCTGACGCGGCTATCTCCGTCCTGCTTACTATCCGCTTACAGAATAAGGTAACGGTTGGCCGTTGAAACTCAAGCAAGATCAGGGTCTACCGTACCGTAACCGGACCGCTCAGTGGAAACGGGCTTTAGACACTTTTCTCTCTGGATGATCCTCACCTCCCAGCGAAGCCTGACACATCATCATAGCTGTCGTACACCTCCAGGTAATCAGCCAGGCACGCCGTGTCGTCCTCCACGTCAAACTCCAGGAAGTGGAGAACGATCCTCTGACCCAATTTGACTCTGATGTGCCAGTAGCAGATCTGCTCGTCCTGGTACTCGTCGGGGAACCCAGGAGACTGAATGATCCTCTTCGGGTCCGTCAGCACACCGCCACACTCCTTAGCTGGAAGACACAGAAATCACACAAATAGCAGCTTATGCTAATTAGAGAGATGAAAAAGACTGAAATGAATACTGAAAATCTAAATCCAGGGTTCTCAACCAGTGGGTCGCGGTTTTTATGCTCAACACTCAAACTGCATGACAACTTGCTCTCACTGTTACCCGGTCCAAAACTCTGAAGTGCAACAAACTCCAGGATTCAAACATGTCTGACATCAAGCTCCTTACAACTGATTCAGGGGCTAGAAATAGTACAGCATTTCTGAACCTTTTAAGCAATGAATAAAGGGATCATGTATCTCTTTGCACTATTTTAAGATGAACCACTGTAGTCTACCTCCACAGCAGCAGAAATAAGAAGAAAGCAAGCCAGGATGATCCACTCTCATATTCAACAGGTGTGAAGAAAGCCGACTGGAAGGTAATGCACATGTCTCTCTGTATCTGCAGGATGTGAAAGCATCTCAGAAATATGTCTGCAATAGCTGAAATCAAGCCAACGTTTTGTTTAAATTATTATTTTTAGATGCCGTCAAGTCACCAAAAGAAATACATATTTGTAAAATAAGTAAGAAGAAGAAGGATTGAATCCATCTTTGATTACATTTTAAAGGCACAGCCAGTCTCAAGGTGTACACTCAATTGGAAGGAAAAGAAACCTATAATCCATGGTGGCAGCGGCGGCGGTGGCAGCGCCCCAGCAGATGTTGATGATCGAGGTTAACCCCCAACCACTTGAGCTGTAACTACCATCATTATAAAACATTTCCCCTCGTCCCAGGTCGTGATGTTTAAAGTCACAGTTTTGTTAAGTCTTGCCTGAGTCAGCCAAAATCCCCCCAAGCTCCTGTGCTAATCGTGCTGAGTAATAATAAGACCAACAGGTGAAGATGTGTCCTTAGAGGACAGGACAGAGAGACTGCAGCAGCTTCTTTCAAGACGGAGATATCGTTCTTTTGTTCTTTCACTGCAACCCCACGGAAAGATGTGAGCAGTAGGAGCTCAGCGTGGGAAGATTAATACAAGGTGGAGCGCTTCAGAAAAATGAAATATATACCATACTTCATGTGAGATTAATATACTTCAGTGTGTGCATGGTCAGCTGATGTCAGAGCACATTAAACCAAAGGGGCCGCAAGTTCACAGCTGCATCACAAACACACGATATATTTTAAATTCACTGCAGTAAAAGTCAGCTGGAGGACACTCTGTCACTCTAATCCCTCCAAACCGGGCATCTTCAGTCACTGGGTTTGATTCTGGGGGTCTGACCTTAGCGTGTGAGCGTCAAATGAACTCAGAGGAGACGGAAAGAAACCTTTAGTCGAAGGAAAGGGAATCAAACACATGTGTTCAGACTCAGGCATCAAAGCTTTTACACCAGACAACCTGCAGGGAGAAGAAGACGTTTCTCATGATTATAAACACTGGGAAAAATCAGATTTCGACGGTTAGATTATAAAGACAGACTTTGATGACTAAACTTTAATTTAGGGGGGATCGGAGGGTTTTAGGATAAAGGATTTGTGTTGTCTGGTTTCCTTTTGTTTGGTCTTTAAAAAAAAGAACCTCTCTGTCCCTCTTCAGTCTCCAGTCTGGTATACGTCAGATATCTTCAGGGACTTTTCCAGAGAACAAAAGGTCTTTGGTGAGGAGTAATTGTACGGAAATCGTTTTCTTCTGGCGTTATTTGAGATCCTGAACACCCGAGCTGAGGACACGTCAGCTTCTTTCATAATCTGTTTTATACCCAAGTTGTGTTCTTACGAATCAACAACAGCGTAGAACGACATTATCCTCGACACAACCACACAGTTTGTTTTTTATCATCGAGAGACGGAGAGAATCTTTTTTCAAGAAGCTTCATAAGTTTTATTCTGATCGTCCTTTCCTGCAGGAGTCTCAAGCCTTTTTCACACCTCCACTCCTGAACCAGAAGCCCCTTTTTGGAATGCTTCTAAACAAACAAGGGGTTAAGGATATGCAACTTCACGGGGTGCACAAAGATCGATCTGGTTCACCTGGAAATTTTTCAAGAGGACTCGCAGGAAAACATCCAGGTAGAGATCAAATCAGCGTCTGGTGTTCACACATGCAGCTCACCCTGAACACTTCCGAAACCCTGATGTTTAGCTCAGGCAGGCCGGTGTGCTAAAGTGGAAAACGTTTTCTTGTGGTTGAAGTATTGAACGGCATACGATCATGTCTCTGATTTATAACCAGCCACAGACGCTGGGTGACTTTCTGGTTTTTATTACAGACCGTCATGAGCATCCCAACCTGCAAAGAATGCAAGAATCCTTTTCTTGTTCTGCAGGAAGATCTGCCCCTGAACTTTCTGCGGTAAGGGTAACAACTGCAGCACTCACACCCACATGTAGGCGCCATCCCACCAAAAAAATCCAGTTGACTGAACATGTGGAGCCGGCCTACAGCGGTGTCAGGTACGTTATTATACTGAGACTATTCTGAGTCCGCTTCACTGCACAGGTCGACTGGTCCTTTATACTGAAGAAGGAAATGTAATTATCAGATGGTCAAATCATACTTTCTGTCGTCTCAGAAATCAAACATTTACACCTTCTTAAACTTTTAAAATCATTCAGAAATGTTTGTCATGTTTGTTAAATCTTCTGTTATTTAATAAAACGAAGAAGTTTCCGACCTGAACATGAACACTTATGTATTTTACCTTTTTGTTTGAACCATGACTTTGACTGTAGAGGCTCAAATGTTCTGACAGATATTTATAATAAAATTAGCATGTGTAAAATCTCTTTGCCTAAAAAAGGAGGTCTCTCTGTC